GAATGCTGATTAATCCTGCTCCTCCGTAGTGCAAAGTTCCTGAGGGACATTCCGGGCTGCCTGTCGTGGTAAAAGAACAGGGGGACTGGGTGGGGAGACACCCTTGGCTGCGTTTGGTGCGACTCACCCGGGTGACATTGTCACCCTGGGCTGGGGGCGGGACTGGGAATGCAGCCGTGGGGTGTGGGTCATGGATTTCCCTTGCTGGTTTGTGGGATGGGGGAAATGGGGTTCCCATGGTCAGAACGCTGATGGGTGTACACAATTTAATATCATGTAATAGTATACAAGGATAGAACAGAACAGAATAGAATAGAATTAATATAATATAGTATAATTAAGACAACACAAATAATAGAATTAATATATCATAATATAAATATACTATAGTATAATATATATTGACGTGATATATAATGTAATGTAATGTAATGTAATGTAATGTAATGTAATGTAATGTAATATATCATATAAAATTGTTGTGTCAGGATTAAACAAAATGTCCATCAGACCATAAGGTAGCTTCCCCACCCATGTATGGGCTGTACACGATCCCAATGGGGATCATTAAACCTGCCTGACGGTCCCTCATTCCAGATTTGGCAGATGTGCCTGGGGCTCCCTGGTGCCCCCTCCAGTCGCTGTCCCTGGCAGGAATGGCCAATTTCCCCACACTGGGTCAGCAAGGAGAAAAATATCCTCAGGCCAGGAAGTGCTCAACTAATAAACATATCCAAAAATAAGACTCCAGACACCCAGGCAGGGACCTGCAAGGGGCTACCACTGCGTAGTCACACTGCGGATGCTTAATTGGCTGCTCATTAATTAAGAGCACTCGTTGGGGCAGGTTTGCCTGGAGGGAGCTGTGTTTGCACGGGTTTAGGGCCAGCAGGGCTGGGATAGTCACGTCAGGTCATCTTCCTTGGTAATAGGGGACATTGGTCTTCTCCATGCCCTCTCCATGTCTGTGTAGCTTCAGTTCCCACCCCCACCCCAGACACAGTAAATACCATTTCAGAGCATTAGCAGGTCTGCGATTGGCCCTGCAAGCACACCCAGGAGTTTTTCTTCCCTATGGCTCATATTTTTCTGTCAATTCTTGGCCCACGTCCAGGGAAAGCAGCCGGTGCTGCTTCCCACAGGGATTAGAGCTGCCTCAGGCCAGGGCTTTGAGATATCTGGCATGGCAAGTGTCAGACTTCTCCTCCTACCATCACTTAGCTCAGTGACATACTTTTACACTGTGTCCTGTCCCCCTGACCCAGCCCACACAGCTTAAGGAATTGGGTTTTGATTGGTTTGTTTTTTGGTTGGTTGGTTGTTTTTTTGGGTTTGGTTGTTTTTAGGGTTGTTTTTTTTGGGGGGGGGTTGTTTTTGGTTTGGTTTTGAGTTTTTTTG